TTTCTGCTCTCATGAATTTTACTTTCTGTGTGTGTGTGGCGGGGGTGGGGGGGAGTTAGGGAAAACAAGAGAAGAAGTTAACTGGAGAGAAGGGAGTGAGGGGATCTGAGGGCAGATTTGGAAACACTGCCTGGTACGGTTGCACAGAAATGATGTCTCATAAGGGCACTCACAGACAGAGCAGCCAGTGCGAAGGCCTTGAGGCAGGATGTGCCAGGTCCCTGAGGTGTGAGGACGTGGTAGGAAATGGTGGCGGGAGCACGACCATGTCTTACTGACTCTTTGATGACAGTGTTAATTCTCACTGAGGGCAAGGAGAAGCCGCCATGGGGTAGGGATGCTCTACACTCTGATCGTCCTCTCCTGAGAAAGGACTGGAATACAGTCAGGGTAGAGATCTGAGGGTCAGCTCCTAAACCCTAGCAGGAACTCATGAGACAGATGACACTGACATTGACCAGCGCAGATACTGTGTAAGTGAAGAGACTCTGACTGTACTTTGGGAATTGTCAGTTGTATCTGCTGCTGGAGTGTAGGGAGGGGTAGGAACTAGGCTTTTAGAGGTGGGGATGGAGGAGGGATCAGTCAAGGAGGTGCGAAGGGAGTCACCAAGAATGGGGTCAGACTAAGAGAGTGAGCAGCAGGGACAGGAACCTGTCAGCATGCCCGGGGTGGAGGTGGGGGTTATGCTGGTGCTGCCTGTAGCTCAGGGAAAGTCTGTAGGTTACCTGCTACCTCTCAGTTTCAGTGGTGCGGTGCTGGGGAGAAATCTAATAGGAGTGTGCTCAGTTTGAATGGGAGGGTTCTAGCAGGCGGAAGTGATGTCTGACGGTCCCTACAGGGATATTAGGGGAAAGGGTTGTTTATCTTCTAGTAATTGGAGATCTGTCTGCCAGTAGTTGTTATTTTCTTGGGAGGAGACAGAAGTGGGACTTAACCAGCAATGTCGGTGCTTAGCAGCAGGCTGACATCGATACTGACGGAGGTTTAGAGGCCATGTGTGACCATGAAGCTGGCACAGTGGTGGGGGTGGGGGCGGTACCGTCTTCTCATGGTTTCTGGGATCAGGTCAGCATGTGGAGGGCTACAGATTTCGTGTGCTCTTTTGTTTGTTTCCTTGGTACTTTTCATTATGTTGTCTGGCAGGTGTCCCAGAAGAGCCATAGGAGGCTATAACATTGCTTATTAAAAGTTTCTTTCTGAAAGTGAGCATTTTGTTATTATTTAATGGTTCACTTTATTTAAACTCAGAGACCCTTGAAAATTGCTAAAGACTGAGAAACAGTGTTTTTTTTTTTCATTGATCTGCAAACTACAAAGAGTTACTTGATTCTAAGTCCTTTAGACTTTGCTGAGATCGAGGCATAGCTAACATTTAGCTAAATCTGGAGTTCAGGCGACTGCTTTTAATTTATATAACTGAGTTTTGAAATTCAGATTTTTATGTATGAACATTTGTGCGTTTAAAAATACTCAACCCTTGGACACTGTACCAGACTCACTCTAAATCAGAGGTAAACAAGGCAGAATATAAGAATATATAAACTATAAGGGCCACGGTGGAAACACTGTCTAAATTGTGGTCTGTTTAAAACTTGACACCTTGAAATTGTGTTGTAGGCTACAAGTAGAATGTGCTGACATCTTCTAAGCTTTTTCTTGGCTGAATTTATATTGAAATGCAAGCTTAGAAAGCTCCATCCACTGTATCGTGTTTTATATCTGAGCTTTACAGTATCTCTATCCGCATGCCACTCAGAAGGATGTAGTCAGGAAAACATCGGCACACAGCTGGCTCTTCCAGTCTGGCTTCCTGCTTCTACTTTATCTGATACCTGCTTGGGCCTGGCCTCTCAGAACTGGCAGAACCAGGTAATCAGCACGTGTAAGAGAAAAGGAAGAAAGAGCAGAAGGTAGGAACAGCCCTTTCACCAAAGAGAAGCCATGAGGTAGCCAGTGATATGGTAGAATATGCAGCATATTAAGGAGCAAGAAGATGCAAATTAAGATTGCAGTGAGTACCATTTTATATCCTAAAATTATAAGGAAGTGAAGGATATAGCTAAATATGAGCCATTATTGCTCATGAGAGCATAATTGCTAAGCACATAGTAGGGAATAAATTTAGTATCAGGAAAATTGAATGGATGAGTCTTGGAGATGTAATATTGAATAGAAACATTAAGTCAAACATAAGAGCTGTTTGTCATTTTTATAGATTTATAAAGAAACTAGAATACCATCTTGTTGAAAGAGACATAAATATATAATATACTTAAAACAATGATGAAGGCAAAATAGACGTGTGCATTTATAAATGGCGGGAGTTGGAGGTATGGAGTAACAGGAGTAACCTATGTTTAGTTCTTGAGTTAGGAGACAGTTGCTAGATGTTCTGTTTTTGTTTGTCTGTATCTAGAGGCTCTCATGTAGCCCCTGCTAGACCTCCAACTTCCTATATAGCTGCGGATGGCCTTGAATTCTTGTTCTGGCCTCACTTTCCAAAGTACTGTTGTCTGTGGATATGGCTCGTTTGCTTTGCACTTCAGAATGATGCCGTGCTTTGTAACCTAACCCCAAAGTGGTTACTAATTCTTTTATTAAAATAATAGATTTTTCGCCAGGTGGTTGTGGTGCACGCCTTTAATCCCAGCACTCGGGAGGCAGAGGCAGGCAGATCTCCGTGAGTTCGAGGCCAGCCTGGTCTACAAGAGCTAGTTCCAGGACAGGCTCCAAAGCTACAGAGAAACCCTGTCTTGGGGGAAAAAAAAAAGAATAGATTTTTCTTTTGTTCTGTTTTGCTGTTCTACACGTGTGTTAGGGAAGTGTCAGTGCTAGGAAGGGTCCTGACCCACATGTTAGAATTTCTCTGAACTGTGTCCTACACATGAAGGAGAATGCACATTTTATATCTCTGAACTGTGTGTCTACACATGAAGGAGAATGCACATATTATATCTCTGAACTGTGTCCTAGACATGAAGGAGAATGCACATATTATATCTCTGAACTGTATGTCTACACATGAAGGAGAATGCACATATTATATCTCTGAACTGTGTCCTAGACATGAAGGAGAATGCACATTTTATATCTCTGAACTGTGTGTCTACACATGAAGGAGAATGCACATATTGTATCTCTGAACTGTGTCCTAGACATGAAGGAGAATGCACATATTTAGTTTTCATTTGATAAGATTCAGAGTCATGAACCTCGCGATGTTCATGTTATTATTTTGCTTTGAATTTAGCTGAACGTTTACAAATAATTGTAAGTAGCAAATAATATGTTTAAAATATAATTAAGATAGGGCTATAGTTCTGTTAGCAGAACATTTGTCTAGCATTCTGAATGTTGGAAAGTAATATTGAATGAGAACATTAAGCCCTATAAAATAAGCACTGTTTGGTGTTATTTCTATGGATTCATTTATAGGATCTCCAGCATTCCATGATGAGCTGTGGTGGCTCACGTCTATAATCCTAGCACTTGAAGGTGGGTGCAGGAAGATTGACTCCATAGTGAGTTCAAGGTCAGCCTATGCTATGGAAGACCCAGTTAAGTTGGATTTAGGACAGGTGTCTTCACTGCAATTTGAATTACTATTGGTGCCGCTAAGTTGCTGGTTTAAATGTTTCTTCCTCAGTGAGCTTGTTTGTGTGTCTATCATCTGATACAACATGCAACTTAAAGTTGTTGAAAATGCAATGAAGGATTTTGAAAAGTAACATTTATTATCTATTTGTTTCCATCTGTGTGCTGTGGCATGTTTATTGAACTCAGAGCCCATCTTGCAGAAATCGGCTCTTTACCTGATGAGCTGTCATTAATGAACTGGGCTCATTAAGAGATGGCTTCCAAATTTTGAAGAATATTTTTCTCTCCAACTTTACCTTCTAATTAATTAAATATCAGCCAAGCTTGGTTGGCATGGTGGTATTTGCTTGTAATCCTAGAAGTTGGGAGTTCAAGGCTAGCCTGGGCTACAGAGTCTCAACAAATAAATAAATAAATAAACAAACAAACACAAATAAAAACCATCAGCAATAGTAAAAAGAAACAGCCAAGAAGTGAGATACTTATCACCGCTAGATTAAATTTGGATAGGTCTTGAGTGATTAACTGATTTTGTTTCAATTATTATACTATGAATAGTGAGATTAACAAAGTTTTATGACCCAGACTAGTAGTGAGCAGGAAAGCAGAATGTTGCTACTCACATTTGAAGGCATGGAATGCTGGCTCTATATCCAGATACTAGGATTCTCATGCTGAAATAGGGACTCACAAATAAGAGAAAAATTTAAATACTCTGTGTGTGGAGTGGCTGGAGTGTGACCTGTGAGGGAGGGTGGGGGTTTCTGATTTTAAATTCACACAAATCCGTTTAGCTCTTCACTGCATGTACCTCCTGATGCTAGACACACATACCTAAGGGGATACTGGTTTGTTTGTGTGTTTGCTTGTTTTCTCTGAAGGGGAGACAGTGAATACCAGCCCCAAGGGGTGGCTCTGGCTTTAGCTTGGCCCCGTCACTCACTGCGGCTTCGTCAGTTTGTCTTCACCTAACTTCTCTGGGTCTCGGTTGCTTCACCAAGTAAAGCCAAACTGGGTGACGTGACCTGCTTTTCATGGATTTTAAGAAAAGCTATCAGCCCTATTTCTTTTTTAAAAGCTTCTTCTTACATTTTGTTTACTCTTTTTGTGTGCGCGTCTGTGCCTGCTGACCTTCTGGAGTCCAGAGAGCAACTTGTAGGAATCCTCTTCTCCATCCACTGTGTGGGTTCCAGGGATCAAACTCAGGTGTGGTTGTCAGGCTTGCCGGCAAGCACCTCTACCCACTGAGCCATCTTGCTGGCTCCTCTCCTGGGTTTATCTGCCTTGAGTGATGGGCTCTCGGGTGTTGAAGGGAGGTGGCAGGCGACAGGTAGAGGTGGCAGAAGATCCTGGGTCAACTCGTCTTCAGGACATGAGCTGAGTCTCTTTCTTTCTCACAGGTGTGATACCCTCGACATCTTCAGGAAGAAAGTACCTGTCGTTCCTGCCTCTACAGGCTCATGCCAGCCCAGCTCACAGAATCAGGTCAGTTTGGGGACTTTATTAGGCTGTTGGTAAAGGAGCCAAGGACAGAATCCTTGAGTCTCCTGAGCTGGGGTTCCGAATGCCCGCCGAGGTTTCCATTCTGCTTCATCCCTGATAGCTGGGTAAGCTTGGGAATGCCATTTTCTCTTCATTCGCACCAAACCGGGTTTGTTGGAATTCACTATCTTCAGCAGCAATTCTGTCTTTAATCATCAATATTTTTAGTATTGGTACCTGTAAATTGTAAATGGAGACTGGTCATTCATCTTCCGGCCGCCCATATGGGAATAATCACACAGAAACTATATTAATTACAACACTGCTTGGTCAACAGCTTACACGTGTTCCTACTTAGCTCTTACATCTTAAACTAACCCATTTCTATTAATCTGTGTATCCCCATGAGGCTGTGGCTTACTGGTAAGGTTCTGGTGTCCTTCTGCAGCTACATGGTGCCTACCTGTCTCTGTCTTCTTTCTCTCTGCATTCAGGTTAATTTTCCTGCGTAGCTATATTCTGCCCTACCATATGCCAAAGAAGCTCCTTTATTAACCATTGGTAATAAAACATATTCACAGCATACAGAGGGGAATCCCACATCAGTAAATGAAAAAATCATGTATTAGAAACATTTCCTTTCTCTCTTTCCTGGAAAATACTGAGTTTTGATGAACTAACACATCATAAAGTGAAATTATATTATATTGTTAGTGCACTTACATACACGTGGAGCGTCATGGTCTAGCAACATAGCACACTGTGGAACATCATCCCCCACCCCACCCCTGCTGATTGGAAGCTGCCCCTCTCTGCTCCGTCCAGCATCTGAGACTATTGCACTATCACTGGACCCAGAAAAGAGCCAAGTTCAATACTGAAAGCAAGGTTTTTAGGAGGTGTGTACTGTTTTGACACTGGAGTCAGCAGCAGTGAGCTGGGACGTCTGTAGTAACTTCAGAGTGCAGGGCTCTTTAATTAGTTCTGTTGTCTCCATTGTGAGTGGTGACCAGCTGGAGTGGAAAGTGGCACTGTAGGTGTTTGTGAGCCCTAGGATTCTGCAACTGCCTTAATTGTAGCATTTCATTTTAACTGAGGGACTTTGAATTGCTTATTTTTTCACGGGCTATCAGTCCTTCAGGAATGTTCTTCACTGTGGAGATGGTGCCTTTTGGGCATCTTCTCTGCTGTTTGAAAATCCCCCAGCTTAACTAAAAAGGGAAAGGTATCAGGCTTTTGGGAGTTTTCCAGGAGACACAGATCCAAGGGCAGAAACACAGCCAGGTTGCACAATGGTGACCCAGGGGCCTAAGCACAGAAATTCCTTGCCAGCTCTCAGCAAAGTGTCTGTTCTCTGGACACATGCGTGTTTCCCTGTCCTCTGCACACACTCACCTTTCCCCATGCTCTTTACACACGGTGTGTTTCACTCTCTTCTGTACACACTCAGGTTTCTCTGTCCCCTGGACACATGCGCGTGCTCCTGACCCTGGTAACTCCTGCCTTCAGCCATCACCCTTCACGCTGGCAGCATGCTTCACTGCTCCTCCCCAGCTGTGTCTCAATGGAGACCCCCAGCAGGCTCTTCTACAGGAGCCTACAGTTCCCAGAGCCCCCATTCCTTGCCCGGCTCCAGACAGGCTCAGGAGAGGGGCATTTAAAACCTCACATTGGCCTTCCCTTCAAGGCCTATTCTCTAAAAAGCCCGACTTCTTCCCTCCGAAATGCAGGTGTGGTCACCTGCCAGCGCCCCTTCCAGCAGACAGTGTGTGCAGAAAGTCAGTGGTAGAGCACGCTTAGATCCCAGCCCCAGTACCCAATGAGGAACTGAAGCGTTTCAGGGAAGGAACTGAAGAAATGACAGGTGAATTTGTGAATACAGACACTGATTGAAGCTGAAAATGCCCAGTGGAAAAAGTTCTTATAATCTGGATAAAATTGTAAAATAACCTTGAGCTCAGCTGCTCCCGGCGGCCAGAACGAAGGGGTAGAGTAGTTCTCGGCGGCCTAGGGGGGACGGGCGGCCGTGCCCAGCCCGGGGCCGCACGAGACACAATGTAAAAAAAAAAAAAAAAAAAAAAAAAAAAAAAGAAAAAAAAAAAGAAAAAAAAATTGTAAAATAAAGTAGCATATTGCTAATAATTTTAGGATTTTAGATTAAAATTTATTTTTCCTTAATTTTAAAAAATGCTGGTTAAAAGTTAGTACCCAGGAGGAGGAGTCTTCACGGGGCAGAGCACTGACCTGGCAGGCCTAATACCCAGAGTCTGGTGTTCGTCACCATGGACGAAGGATAAGTCACTAAGTAGGCACAGAATTTAGGTCTCAGAATGTTGAAATGTTTCATCACCACTTTATATCTTGCTGTGAAACTTTGTATAATTTTCCCCTTTTCTGTAGACTTTTGGCTTATTGAATGATACCTGAGATTAAAAATAGAGCATGAAGAAACACTCTTCCTGAAACACCTTCCTACCAGGAAGTTTTATATTTTTCTCACCAATAGAATAAGATGTCTGAAACATGTGTTTAACACAATAACTGTTGTAAAATATTATTTTAACTAGGCAAAGATGTATTACTTTTATTTATGCTGTATTTGTTTAACAATATAAGGATGTGTGTTTAATTGTGTAAAGATAAGTTGCATTTGCCTGCCTAACGCACCTGATTGGTCTAATAAAAAGCTGAACAGTCAATAGCTAGGCAGGAGAGAGGATAGGTGGGGCTGGTGGGCAGACAGAATAAATAGGAGGAGAAATCTAGGTTTGAGAGAAGGAAGATGAGAGAATGAGGAAGAGAGAAAGAGAGACATGCTGCGGACAAGAAGTCAGGCAGCTGCCATCTGCCATCCACATATGAGAAACGGTGAAAGAAGATATACAGAAGAAAGGTAATAAGCCCCAAGACAAAAGGTAAAGAAAAACAGGTTAATTTTAAGTTAAAAGAGCTAGCCAGAAACATGCCCAAGGTAGTGAGGGCATTCAAAACTAACAAGTCTGTGTCATGATTTGGGAGATGGCTGGTGGCCTAAATGAAAAGAGCCTGATACAAATGTCTATCATCTTTAATACTGCGTTCAAACACAAACAGTCAAACTGTTTCATGCCCATTTAGGATCAAAAGGAAGAAGTGAGATGTTTTTCTATAAGACCCATGCAGCTGCAGAGTGTTGGAGCCAGCCAGCGACTCTGGCCCTATCACCACCCAAGCAGAAAATTAGACTAACAATAGTGGAATCTATTTATTAGGAAGAATAAATGAAGGAATATATGATAAAGAAACCCAAGGAAACAGTAAATGCTACCTACTAATAATACTGTTTTTATTACCATTAGTTATTATTCAGATGATGTAGGTGGATTTCAAATATAAATGTGACATTATCAAACTAAATTCTTTGAACAGGCTATTCTTCAGCAGGTGCAAGAAATGAAAAACACCGAAAAGCATAATCTAAGAAGCACAGGAGAGAAAGATAGCCCACATAAAAACACAATCACTGATTTCTAGACAACCTAAGTGTGTGGGAAGACCTTCACAGTCAGGCTTAATGTGCTCTATTTTTTAATCCTCCCCCTCCCTGTGTGTGTGTGTGTGTGTGCGCGTGCACGTGTTACAGCATGCATGTGGAGGTCAGAGGGCAGCTCTGGGCATAGCACTGTGCCTTCCATCTTGTCTGAGACAGTCTCCTTGTTATTTGCTACTGTGTACCCCAGGCGCAGCTGCCATATCTGCTCTGTCCACCTCCTGGTCTGCTGTGGCAACACTGTGATCACAGACACCATTATGTCTGGATGAGACACGGTCATCAGGTTTGTGCCAAAGCACTTCACCCCTGAGCCCTCCCCCAGCCCAGCATGAGGCATCCTTTCAAGTGGGATGGTTTGCTTTCTAAGAAACTTTGAGCAGTTTTCCTTCAAAGATGTGTAAACATACATATGTGCACGCACATGCGCGCGCGCACACACACACACACACACACACACACACACACACACCCCACAGCCCTCGTTCCTGAATATTCTATCCTCAAATATGGCAAAGCACAAGGCTTATCTACTGATGCTTTTGAACTAAGCCAAATCTTAACTGTGCTCTTTAAAGTTTAACTTTTATCAAAACTGGGGCAGAGAGGTATATTCATACCTGTGAGGCTCTTAGAGGCAGCTCTTGAACAAGTAATTGGATATCCTAATTTTTTATATAAAAAACTAAAAATATTAGGTAAGAAAAAAAATTTCAAGGACTCTGTTCCTTTCTCTGTATGATTTGAAATGTGATTGTTCACATGGCCATCCATGCAGTCACAGGGTCCTGAACCTGGGCTTCTGAAGTGGGGTCTAGGCCAGTTTCTTTGAGTTTCCTGCCTCAGTGCACAAAGAACTAACAAAACAGCCCGAGAGCCTGTGTCCCAGAGATCACCACTTCCCGTCTTTCCTCGAGATCAGTTATACGGCCAAGCCCTTTCGTTACACTCATTTGTGTTTGTTCCGTCTTTCCTTTCTGACAGATCCCCATGTAGCCCAGGCTGGCCCACACTGTCCCTTCACTGTGGCCTCCAGGTGCTGAGATTACAAGTCTGTCAGTCACTCCTGAAGGGAAAAACAAAGCAACACAATGTGCCCGGACACACGTCTGAGGCCTGATCCAATCAGGTCAAGGTGCTTGGGTGTGGGAGACTTCCTCCTGAGCTCCTCCCTTCTCCTTACACAGATCCACTTCCTCAAGGATCTGCTCCTCAGGAGGCCCCGGAAGCCACCAGACATCTCAGAGCCACAGTAATCCATGCAGGCGTTTTTAGCAGAGATCTTGGTAGGACAGGTCACAGGGAAAATGACCAGAACACTCCCTGACAAGGCCATGGGGACATGGACCTTCGGCTCCTTTCTCTAGTCAGGCAGAGCCACGCCTCTCGCTGCACCAGACCGTCTCTGCACGCGGTCATCACCTCTGCCGCTTCTACTAAGAACCAGTAGCAGAGCCATTTTGCTGATGAGAAA